TGGAGCCCGGAGCTATGCTCTCTGCAAAGTGCAAAACAAAAGAAAACTGCAAGAACGTTTTAGGAGCCATCAGAGGCCAGAGAGCTTCAGGAGCCATCAGAGGCCAGAGAGCTTCAGGAGCCATCAGAGGCCAGAGGGCTTTGACAGGAGCCATCAGAGGCCAGAGCGCTTCAGGAGCCATCAGAGGCCAGAGCGCTTCAGGAGCCATCATAGGCCAGAGCGCTTCAGGAGCCATCAGAGGCCAGAGGGCTTCGACAGGAGCCATCAGAGGCCAGAGGGCTTCAGGAGCCATCAGAGGCCAGAGGGCTTCAGGAGCCATCAGAGGCCAGAGCGCTTCAGGAGCCATCAGAGGCCAGAGCGCTTCGACAGGAGCCATCAGAGGGCAGAGCGCTTCAGGAGCCATCAGAGGCCAGAGGGCTTCAGGAGCCATCAGAGGCCAGAGCGCTTCAGGAGCCATCAGAGGCCAGAGCGCTTCAAGAGCCATCAGAGGCCAGAGCGCTTCAGGAGCCATCAGAGGCCAGAACGCTTCAGTAACCATCAGAGGCCAGAGGGCTTCAGGAGCCATTAGAGGCCAGAGAGCTTCAGGAACCATCAGAAGCCAGAACGCTTCAGGAACCATCAGAGACCAGAACGCTTCAGGAGCCATCAGAGGCCAGAACGCTTCAGGAGCCATCAGAGGCCAGAACGCTTCAGTAACCATCAGAGGCCAGAGGGCTTCAGGAGCCATTAGAGGCCAGAGAGCTTCAGGAACCATCAGAAGCCAGAACGCTTCAGGAACCATCAGAGACCAGAACGCTTCAGGAACCATCAGAGGCCAGAACGCTTCAGGAACCATCAGAAGCCAGAACGCTTCAGGAACCATCAGAGACCAGAACGCTTCAGGAGCCATCAGAGGCCAGAACGCTTCAGGAGCCATCAGAGGCCAGAACGCTTCAGTAACCATCAGAGGCCAGAGGGCTTCAGGAGCCATCAGAGGCCAGAGAGCTTCAGGAACCATCAGAAGCCAGAACGCTTCAGGAACCATCAGAGACCAGAGCGCTTCAGGAGCCATCAGAGGCCAGAGCGCTTCAAGAGCCATCAGAGGCCAGAACGCTTCAGGAGCCATCAGAGGCCAGAACGCTTCAGGAGCCATCAGAGGCCAGAACGCTTCAGTAACCATCAGAGGCCAGAGGGCTTCAGGAGCCATCAGAGGCCAGAGAGAGCTTGAGGGGTCGCCCGAGGCAACAGAAGGAAAACAGGAATCTACATAACGCCAGCGCGGGGCTGCGCCAAACCAACCACAATAACCAGTGCCGGCCAGAAAGCGGATGTAAATGACAAAGAAACACAAAATGATGACATAATTATTCACGAGCAATTTGAATACCGCAATGAAATATATGAAAGCATTTGATGAATGAGCTGAACTTCAAAGGATAATTTTCTCTTCTAACGTCGTCCCTTCATCATTTTCTTCTCTCAGCCTATTCACCATCTTCCTCTCTCTCGTATCTCCATACCTTTGTTAAATTATAATTATCAACTTTTTACATGGACATATTTTTTTTCCTAAATGAACCACATATTTTAAACATCTCGAAGAATCATCTCCACATTATTCTCACGTGAACCATCTACAAGCTGGACGCTAACCCACCCAAACCCCCTCTCTCAGCTGGACCCTAATCAACCCAAACCCCCTCTCTCAGCTGGACCCTAACCCACCCAAACCCCCTCTCTCAGCTGGACCCTAACCCACCCAAACCCCCTCTCTCAGCTGGACCCTAATCAACCCAAACCCCCTCTCTCAGCTGGACCCTAATCAACCCAAACCCCCTCTCTCAGCTGGACCCTAATCAACCCAAACCCCCTCTCTCAGCTGGACCCTAACCCACCCAAACCCCATTTCTCAACTGGACCCTAACCCACCCAAACCCCTCTCTCAGCTGGACCCTAACCCACCCAAACCCCTCTCTCAGCTAGATGCTAACCAACCTAAACCCCTCTCTCAGCTGGACCCTAACCCACCCAAACCCTCTCTCAGCTGGACCCTAACCCACCCAAACCAACCAACCCACATTCTAAATTCCCGGAACCTGGGCAGGTTTGCTTTACAAACTTTTCTAAATATAATAAATAATTTTATTTTATATTTACCGCTATTTTTCTCTGTAAGAGAAGAATTTTCGCGAGGAAAGCGAGAAAGTTACCTTAAATATCTTCCACAAAGCTTTTAAAATCCAGTGAAAAACTTGATTTCTGGATCAGAAACGTTTTTAAAGTAATTTGGAAATTTTCACCCCGAAAACCTCTGTAATTATGTTCCATTTCGTGTGGTTGAAAGGGTGTACTCACCTAGTTGTGTTTGCACGGTCAAGGTCCTAGCCTCATTATCTGGCATTTGTCAGGATCAAAGTCTAACATCTATCTTTCCGACCATCTCTGAAGTGTGCCAAGATTGCCTTGTAACTTTCAACATTCTCTTCTTCTAATACTTCCCATCAGTCACAAATAACGATATGAAGTATTTTTTAGCTTCTACCCAGCCCTTATCATTATCATTATTATTATTATTTTCTGTATACTGTATAATAATTTTTTAATATACAAAAGGGTATACAACTGTACCTCTGGTGCAACTGTAAGGTCCCAAAGCCTCGGAGAAGATAGTAAAAGGTATTCAGAGAAGACCTTGCAGATTCTCCCTGAACACTTTAGTATTTTGTTCTTCTCCAAACCCTACTCTATTATTATTTGATAGAATATAATCAATTTTAACTACTGTATTATTTTGTATTATTATTATTATTATTATTGTAATTGTTATTGAGAAAATCAGTTGGAGCCATGGGGAGGATTCGAACCTGTACCCTGTGTACTTCCAAAACGCCTTAAACCACTGGACCACTATACAGTAAAAGTAATTTTCCGCTATTTATGGTCCAGCAGTTTAAGGCGTGTGCTTGGCAGTACAAAGGCTGCAGGTTCGAATGCTCATCATAACTCCAACTAATTTCCTCATTGATACATCACGATAATATGATTTCTAATCTCATTATTATTATTATTACTATCAAGCGAACATTAACAATATAATAATAATAATAATAATAATAGAAGACCACTTACAATAACAAACTGTGTATAACAAACATGTAAGAAAGTGAATGTAGACACAGGAATTTACAATACGCATTGGTCCATTTGTGAGGGTACCACCTCTGGTGCCAATGTGGGGACCCATAGCCTCGGAGAAGAAAATAAAAAGTATTCAGAGACCTTGTGGTTTCTAACTGAACACTAATATTATCTTCTCCTACCACCCCCATTCTTTTGTACGTACACATATATATATTTGTTTTATATGAACTTTGTTACAAAAAAAGGAGTTACATATAGAGTACAAAAATGGTATATATATATATATATATATATATATATATATATATATATATATATATATATATATATATATATATATATATATAATCATTCCCTTTTTTTCTTTAGAGCAGCAGCCCTGAAAGACCCAAACACTCCTCTCTGTGGAAAAGGCGGTAAAGAAAAAATGGGAAAAGGAAATTAGGACTAGTGGTAAAGGAAAAAGCAAGAAATATTTTCTCTTGTTGCAGTCTGAACAAAAGGGTTTCCGAGGCGAGTTACAGAAAACGGGAAAGCAATCGTACGCCAACCGCATAGAAAACGTTACTAAGTTACACAAGAGTTTCAACATTCTTTTATTTAATTTTTTTACTTGTGATCAAATCGAAACACCTTTCAGTTGATTCGTTTCGTCCAGATACTGAGGGAGCAACAGTTGTGGCATTGAGGCGGCTCTTTTCTTTAACATATGCTCTTATATTTTCTGAACGAGCTAGCCTAGTATACAAGTTGTTACCTAAAATAAAAAAGGCACGCGCGCACATGCATGTATATATACATGTATATATACATGCATACATACATACATAACATACACATACATACATAAACACAAACACAAATTCTGAATACCAATCACAAGAGGGAATACGTGGAACCTTTGGGGAAACAAACGAGAAACAGCAACAATAACAACAAATTTTAACCTAAGAATAACAGGAAATTGGTACAGACTAAACGAGCCGTTTATAGAAACCAAATTCCATTTATTATTAACAAAATAGAAAGATAGGTCGGGAGTCATCACATGAGACAACCTGACAGCTGGAAAGGTGGGGGTCCAAGAGCTGAAGCTGGATTCTATATACACAAACAAATACAGTCTCGCAAGCATGCGCATGAACACAAGACAAACAAGCTTGAAGAGTGCAGATCCATAGATCCCCTCAAAGCAAGTTACTTGTCCAAACAAAGTAAACCAACAACCAAAATTCACAAACACGCTGGGGGTGACAGGTAGGCAAGCCAGCTGGGGTGACAGGTAGGCAAGCCAGCTGGGGTGACAGGTAGGCAAGCCAGCTGGGGTGACAGGTAGGCAAGCCAGCTGGGGTGACAGGTAGGCAAGCCAGCTGGGGTGACAGGTAGGCAAGCCAGCTGGGGTGACAGGTGGACAAGCCAGCTGGGGTGACAGGTGGACAAGCCAGCTGGGGTGACAGGTAGGCAAGCCAGCTGGGGTGACAGGTGGACAAGCCAGCTGGGGTGACAGGTGGACAAGCCAGCTGGGGTGACAGACAAGCCAGCTGGGGTGACAGACAAACAAAGAAGGATAATACTGACACAAAACACAAGGGGGTGTCAGGAAAAAGACTGAAAACAGTGTGATAGTTAATGTTAAAGTTTGCCAATAATGTTAAAGACAATAATAATATAACTTAATTTAAAGTGCATAACACTATATTATACAAATTAATCTATTCTAAAACACTTGTCACTTAAGTTTTAAAAGAAATATTTTGAATATCAATACTGTTTTCACACCATTTTCAAAGACTTTTCTAATTCACTGCTTTTTCAGCAAAGTTTATAATTATATTGAAAATAAAAGTATGATTGGTGGGATGGAGTAAAGACAGCGCACCAAGAGACAGGAAACACAAGAGTCAAAAGGGCACAAAATATTCCTTCGGTAGAATACTTTGTACTCTGCCACTGAAGTATTCCTTCGGTGGCAGTACAGTCATTTGCTCTGCATTTGCCACAACATACAAAGTATACAAAGTACAACGTGCTAACCTAACCAAAAGCGCACTAACCAAAGGCGTGAGTAAACAAGAGGAAGAACTAGTGGATAACTCTATTTACGATATCGAATGTACGACAAATTTTAGCATAGTCCATGAGACATGGAAATCGCTACAGTAGACAATCTGTAGCTAAGAGGCGGGGCCCAAGAACTGGAAATTATTTCCGTCAAACCAGTAGGTAAAGAGGGGTACAAACCCAGTCTGCAATGAATAGACGAGCTCACGGTAAAACAAGATAGAACATGATGGATTATCAGACGAGGAGTCACAATAACGTGGCTGAAATATGTTGACCAAACCACACACTAGAAAGTAAAGGGACGACGACGTTTCGGTCCATCCTGGACCATTCTCAAGTCGGTTGCGAATGGTCAATGCGAATGATCAATGCGATTCTCAGAATCGACTTGAGTCGATTCAGTCCAGGACGGACTTAAACGTCGTCGTCCCTTCACTTTCTAGTGTGTGGTTTGGTCAACATGATGAATTATCTGTCCTGAAGTGCAGAAACGCCTAAGTTCGATTCATGGCCAGCCTTGGAGATACGGGGAAGAATCACAATACCGACCCGTGGCTCAATAGGTACGGACCAGGAGATAAGACGAGCCACAAAAGCCTGAAATCAATACAGGGGTATCGTATAGAAACAAACAGCAATGATTGTAAAGCTCGGTTACACTGCTACATCCTATCCAAAGCGGAAGAAGAGACATAGAATACGAACAACAGAGCTTATCAAGTAAAGGCCCAGTAAAAGCTTCAGCACACTCCAAAATAAAAGGAAAATGTCAGTAAATGATGAGGTAGCCAGCCTAAACAGAGAAGGGGGAGGGGAAAGGCTTTGTGTTGGGATTTATACCAAAACCAAGCACGGGAGAAACGGGTGAGACTGGTGGCCAAAATAAGAACTAAATCCTTTACCCTTACTCTCCTCCTCCAGTACAACAAACACCCCAGATGGGCAACAACACCCACGGGTCTGGCCCCCTTACACACGGGTCTGGGCCCCTTACACACGGGTCTAGCTCCCTTACACACGGGTCTGTTCCCCCCTTACATACGGGTCTGTCCCCCTCCCCTTACAC